AAAACGAAGTGGTGTTAGCATAAATTATTCACTATTAAATGCAATTGAAATCGTTACATACATTCGTTTGTTTATAATTGCTTGTGTTAGTATTTTTGGTTGTTTTGATAAGGGCGAATGATTGTTGACCGATGAAGATGGTGCCTTCTGATTATGAGCTGGTATTGTTGCTGTTGTTGTTGAATTGTTTTATCAACTGTACGAAACATCGGGCTATAGCATCCAGCATCAATAAATAAACCAGCAAACTATCAGAATCGTTCCAATACTGAGCCATCGACAAATGATTATGGCAAAACGATAATGAGTCTAATGATAAAGAGGCGATAAAATGATAAAGAATGATAAACATGACAAAAATATCCACGTAACTTCAGTGAACATCAAACTTTCAGATTCATGAATTTGACTAGCTGATATCGCGAGAGAATATCCGTTCTTTATCGCATAGATCGGCGAATAAATTTTCATGTCATGTAAAATTTATGTGCGCCTAAATTCAGTTTACGTGTACTTGCAAGTGGGAAGTGACAAGCACTGATCTAAGTTTTCGTCAGTCCTGGAACAATTTTCGAAAATGTCCCAGATTGTTTCAATCCAATTCCACTTACAAGCAGATTCCAAGTGTAGCTCAGCATCAATTTCCGTTGAACTATAATGTAACACTTTGAAAGCATTGATCTGAACGATCAAACAGCTGAGAGAATTGCAATGAAGAGCGAGGAATGCGCATTGCATTGGTTGAATAACAATGCGTTAAGAGCCATGGAAAATAAATTAACTCGCAGCATTTTTAATTTACAGCTTACTGAGAGAATGTACAGAACTTTGTCAAAGTGTGATCTTCAATGGAGCTTTGTATGAGTGATAATTATGCAGTGAACATCGGGATCTCCGAAATAATAACTGTTTTTTTCAGAAACAATCAGTAGTTGTGGAGCCGAGCAGTTCACTTGCAAGGGAGACGGTAGATGCATTGATCCGAGATTACGATGTAATCGATTCAAGGATTGCGCGGATGGTAGTGATGAACTGGAAGAATACGGTTGGTGCTTGAGCGTATTTCTTAAATCTCAAAATATTCCCTAATCCAGTCGCTGTTTGTCATTCAATCGTATTAGTGAAAGTCGGCTATTTATGGAATCTAATTGTGTCCAAGACTTAATTTCCGATTCACCGTTTAAATATATCGAATTTTGCGTAATTCATGACTAGCCAATGATAACATAGCAACAATCTTCGATGAAATATTGCCGAGAAGTCATATTTTGGCTGGTGAATTTCTCGTTTCTTTTGTAGCACTATGTTCTCGTCTGACACCGATCATTCACCCTCTCGCATCACACTTCGACGTTCACTCCGATCAAACCGTTGAGCTATCGGTTACGATTCGGCAACTCCCACCAGATCATCAGGTATTCGATTATCGAAATTTCAGTTGTGCCAATCGATTCACGCTGATTAATGCTGCACAATTTGTTTTTGCTAGCTAACATTAACTTTTTGCTAGATAACATTAACTTAAGCATATCATGGCCATAACATGAAGTAGTAGAATTATGTAACTGACTTTGAAAGGACTTTTCCATTGTCATCGACGGCTAACACTGGAATAGATCGAATCGAAATGATCTGTGAAGATGATCACTTGGGCACTTTCTCTAGCAATATTCTAAGGAGGAAGCCCGTTTTAAGATTCACATCTGTAGTGGTGAACGAAATAATGTTCAACATTCTTCGTGAATGCTACTCTCTTATGATCGTAGCATTTATGGCACCGAACATTCATATGTCCATAAATCATAGGTGATGCGCGAGTACTATCGTGTTATTTTCGCAACATTGTTCGTAAATGCCTTTATTTCATTTATCATATATGAGAGCGTTCGTAACTGCTAATGTGAGATATTTGGCCATCATTTTCTTGTGTATTTGAATTTCTAATGCTTACCAAATGCAACTTAACAATCTTCCACAGCAGCACTCGATATTATTCATTTTAATCGCAACATCACTAAGCAATGCTCTCAACGGGAAGTTATGACCTCGTTCAGCCGTTCTATTGACAATACAAACACAATCTGGACAATAACAATGTACACATTAAACGTTGTTGTGGAATTTGTGTTGTTTTCCCAAACGAATTCCACCGAGCACTTTTTTATCGCACCGATGAGTGGGATTAGAGGCGTCTCAAAAAAAAAAAAACTGTAGAACAACAGATAAGTTTGTCAGATAACAGACTCAGATTGGACCGGATTAGACAGGATTACAAGCAACTTAAAGATCATGAACCTTTCAAGTCAATGGATTTACCACACTCACAAGTACTCATCGATGATAACCGCTGAATTTTATCGTTTTCTGCTCAAATGTTTGACGATAAGGTAGCTTATGTGGGAAACTGATGGCACGAAGGGTAAGATAAGGTGCACAGGATTACATGATTGATGTACCGTGGGACATGGCGTCAGTGGCGTCGAGTACGCAAAAATGCACAAAAATACATTTGTCATGGCTGTCAGATGTTCATGTTGAAATAAACCAAAAAAAAGAGCACGTGATATCCTTATCTGCAAGGCACCTCCCTCAAAGAAACGCAAAAATTGTCATAAAATTGTATTTTGGCCACCGTAAACATTCTTATCAATCACGTAGGGGACCTAAGCATTTTGCGAACCTTGAAGCAAGAAATAAACTCACGAGAACATAGCATAATCTGGCTGCTGGAAGTACAATTCTTCATTAAGAAAATTCCTTTCAAAGGAAGTCTGATAGTTTTTTTGCTCAATCCACATCCTTTGACAAAGAATATTGCATTGTGCGGAATCTTTGTGAGCATTTGGTCTACTCATAATTTTACCATACTCGATCATATACACATATCTTCTGAAGAAATGCCGGCTCAGAAAAGTATGTTATTATTAGAGATAATCCAAAGTGCTCTCAAAGTTTGATTGATCTTCACCTCAATCGATCGTCAAATGGATATTAGGCTTACCATAAGCAGATTTGTCATAAGTGATATTTTGGGGGAAGAAAATGTTCCAGTCATATGTAGGCAGGAGAATTTGGAAAATTCAGAGGGAATAACGCAAATTCAATGTTTAGAGTGGGGGGACATGAGATGTTTCTTGATTACTAAGATGTTCTAAATTGATTAGGTATTTTCATCGAGAACCTAAAAGATCCAACAACCATCGCTGTATCTTGAGATCAAAAGTTGAAGTTCACGTAATGATTAACTTTATCCTACTGCTCATCATCGCAGAGTCATCTTATTAGCAAAAAATTGTCTCATATCAGTTACGTAGTATGTGTGTCGTAACTCAGTATTTTTGGAAACACATCAGCCCAGAGAATGGGATAAAATTTGAGTTCAATGCGCGAATATTTCTTATCTGTTTGTTCAGGTTTTATCATTGATGAATATATTAATCATTCAGGAAACAATCTCTGACAAAAAAATTGATCGTGAGATGGCTATTGAAATCCGTTCGTCCAAATTATTATCGCAGTGTGATCAGTATCTTAGGTAAACAATATTGCAGGTGATATGGTCGAAGAATGGCGAAATCATTGCTCAAGGTGGTCTAACGATCAAGAAAGATCCCCGCATTCATGCATACCGTTCTTCTGAACGATACTTCCTCAAACTGGCGAATGTGACTGACGAAGACGCAGGCCGATACAAGGTAACACTTGAAGGGCTCGGCCTAGAAGCGGTCGTTGATGTGCGAGTGATTCCAAAGCAGGCTCAACAACACCAGCATGCGCACCGACCTCAACAGCCAGTTCATCACCGTCAATACAAAGTGTCTTGTCCGCACGACCAGAAAGCATGCCAATCAGGCCATTGTCTGCCGCATTCGAGATTCTGCGATGGTCGTAAAGACTGTCCGGATGGTGACGACGAAAGCAATTGCAATCGTAAGTTAGCTCAATCCTCTCGTTGCTTCAGATTCTCTTTTGCCTCTTTACCAATTCCAAGACAATAATCAGAATAAAAACTTGAACTGGTCTCGGCTAAGCACACTGGGAGATTTAACTTGCACATTATAGATCCGAAATGCGCATCCAACGAACTGCAATGCAGAAGTGACGGTGTATGTTTGCCGAAATCGATGCACTGTGATGGCGTAGAGGATTGTCGAGATGGAAGCGATGAAGCGAACTGTACTCACAAAAAGAAAACTCAACTCACCATGATTTTCCCACCACATCAGGCACATCATTCGAACGTGCCTTGTCCGGATGGTTCAACGCCTGAATACAGCTTGTAAGTGATTGATTTTATTCAGTCTGTATCACCGATATTCATTTGATGCTTTCGTTTGTGGCATGAAAGCTTCCGATGAGGAATTTAAGCATAGAGAAGACATTAATGGATACAATGTATTCACTGAAGCTGCAGTAGATTTTCCATTGACATGAGCAAATTTGATCAAGTCGCAACAAATTTTAATCTTTTTTAGAATAATGTGTGAAAACACAGTCTTCATCTGCTGCCGGAATGTATTCAGTCCTTTCCTAAGATCGCCTTAATTCTAGACAAAATTTCTGCGCCTTTAAGATAACTGGTTATAGTTAATAAAAACCAAAGTGCTCTGATATATTTTAAGCATTTGCAAGTGATCAATAGAACACCAGTGACCTACAGAAGTCAAACTGGGACAAAAATTTTGTTATATTATGTATTCGTCAAGAATGCTCACAAGCGATTGTTACGCGGTAGACATTGAAATGTATGGTCAAAAGAGGATTGAGTGCGTGATCGTGTCGCATGCTTCTCGATAGTTTTGCAGAAATGACACGAATTAGGTCGAAAATCATGCAAAACCCAGTGCTGTTATTATTGCGTTTGGAATCACGTTCATTCCTGTGATTAGTATTGCTATAAGTGCAAAATTGTGATCCATCGAAACTGCAGCCATTGACCCATCACTAAATCTAAACACGAGTAGTAGACAGATGAGTAGTGCATGAATAAATTACGATAGATAGCGCATTTTACCGTCCGTTCTCCGCTGACTTCGCTTGGTGCATTCCAGTCAGAAGCGATTTGATTCAAAACGAATCGAATTCGAATCATGGCGCCACTCAAATGTAATAATGTCTGGAGTTGGCGTGGAATGAGCCACAAAAAAGCTGTGAAAATATTTTTAAAATGTCCAAATCTGTTGGAACAACGAACACACAAATGCTTGATACTGGTAGAGATTATGTTCGCTTGTAAATGAATTCACTCGGCATGCAGTCAGTTTCTTTCTTGACTGCGCTTATCTGCACGTACCATCGACGATATTCGTCTGAATTCGTAAAAAAATCAACACCGACTGCGAATGTATTCAATGTTAGTTAGCAAAAACATAGTCTGCATACTGGTGAATAAAATTCTTTGGATATTATAGCAGCTTAGCGGTGTAACACAACAGGATTAATCTATTTGATAAAATAAGAGCATAATCTCAGATTCAAGACT